GATTGATGCCTGTAGCTTTGATTTCTCATGGGCATGCAGATTAGCTCATGTATTTCTTTATTATTTTGAATAATGGGGAGAGGTAAAAATTGTAAAATACACTATTCAATGGAAAACATGAGTTTTATGGAAAAAACCCTGCAAATTCACCAAATATTTTTTTCTTGTACATCTGAGATCTCCAGAACCTTGTCAGCAGCGTGGTTCTCTGGGGATGAACATTATCTGAAGCCTGTTTTGAAGGGGTATGTGTGTGTGTTCGCAGAAACAGAACTTCGCATCCGAACCCGCGAGCAGCCCCGGGGGGGGGTTGTCCTTCCGGCACCTACCCAGCCCAAACCGGGCCTTGCTATTTATTTTATCATTTGTAAATAAGCGAGTTAATGTGGAATTCACAATCTACAGAATGGAACAAACTATTTAGAGGGGCTTCTTTTTAGTTAAAAATCGGGTAGGTAACAAACAACCTGTTGTGTATCTGCAGAGAGAAAGAGAGGAGTGAGTTATGATACTGCAGAGAAGTGCTTAAAATACGTAACGATTTTTTTCCTTTCATTTCCTCTAATGATCTGAGAGACTTCTCCATCTAGATTTGTTGACAAAGATCTAATGGAGGTTCACAACTTTTCCGAAGCTGTCGACTCTGGCTACGCAACGCGTGGGAAGGTTTCCAAGATAAAAATGTCAAAATTAAGCACGATATTAAGATTTCATTTCTTATACCTTAAAACTGGATTAATCAGGATTTAGTCTTTTTGATCAAGTCAGGAGGTCCAAGATCCCACAAGACTCAGTGATCTTACTAACAGAATACTTGTCAGTGCCCTATTTCTACACATCATGTGTAATCCCGTGATTGTGTCTTTGCTTCTGACTTTCTACAGCTTTTGTCTATTTTTAGAGAAAGTACTTTGCTAAGCTTAGTTTAACTATAACAATTATTAAATAAAATTAGTTCTAATTAGAAGCATGTCCTGGTTCAAAATCCAAGAAGATTTTATCCAGATACTCTCCTCTTGGCTGACTTTTTCCTTTCAGGAGGAGGAAATCTCTCCTGGGAGGAGAGGGTGATCGAAGCAGAGGTTCCTTCCACACTTGGAGGAGTCCGTGGTAGAAGCCGATGAGGTTAAAGTGGGTGACGGCTTAAAGGCAGGTGATGTGGCTGAGGTAGGGTGCTAATTGTCTTGGCTCCCTGTTGATGGTCTGTAATTTAGATTACCTAAATTAGGCGTTTGCTCCTTCTCTACTGACCCTATAGAGGCCCTAATGATATCAACCTCCTACTTTAGCCAATTACAGATAAAATCCTGACCCTAATGATGCCGAGTTTTGCCATTTGTATTATTTAAAGTAAGGAGCTGGAGAAGTGCAGGGTTGGTAGAGAATAAATTAAGGACGTTCAGGGATGATTATGGTGGGGTTTTTACCTCCTAAAACTCACCTTACGGAGGGCTGTATTAACTCTTTGGTGGAGCCCTGCTGGCTGGGGAGCGGCCGTGGGCCGGGCTCAGCCCTTGGCCAGCGCTGAGGCTTACACAGACATGGAGATTCGGGGGCTTGCACACACAGTTTTGAACAGTGTCCCAGGAAACATCACTTGTATTGCTTCACTCTAAGCCTGAGCTCTTTTATAAGTTCTTTTATAGTTTTGCCTCATAAACAAAGCTTTGTCTGAGCTCGGTGTGGCCGGGGTCTGTGTGGGTGCAGAGTGTCTGCCCGCACGTTTAGCTGGTCCTGTCTGAGGAAACTCTAACCCAGAAGCCGCACAGGGACACTGGACTGCACCCAGTCTCGCACTCTGACTCACGGTAGACTTTTTATTTTGCATGAATGACATGAATGGCATTGTCAGCTGATGAGGCTGGTGCGATTTCTGGACTAGAGCATCGCTGCCCTAGCTGCCCCTCAGGGCTCAAACTCCCTGACGGGGGTGATTCAGGGAGGCATTGAAGCAGTGAGGGAGGTAAAAAAAAAAAGGCCAAATCTCCTATGAAAGTCAAAACCGAGCAAGGAACAGCCATGATCAATCCAAGCACAGAAAAAACCTGTGGAGGGCAGGCAGTTTGTCCAAATCCCAGGTCTCCTAGGAGATGAAAGGCATTTCAGGGATGGCTAACGACTTGGTTCCTATTGCTTTGCTAAAATAACTTTCCCTGCTAGTCCCCAGCTGCCCCAGGCTTGTCCTTGGCTCGGTGATAAGGAACAGACGTTCAGCCAGAGCAGCCACCGCGCCGCGCACCACCGCCTCCGCTCCTGGAGGTGTTTGGTTTCTGAACTGAAATAGGATTATCGGACAGCTCACATTATGCTGCATTGATTACTTTTCCCCGATGACTAGAAAATTTAATCTGTTTCAACAGTGACATGATCAACATTTAACTTTAGATCTTGAAAAAAGAAAGAGGGAGTGTACAGGATAAGGAATGGGAAATTTTTCCCTAGATTAAGCCACTAAATGTCAGAGTTATGCAAGAACTTTATCTGGAGTAAATCAAGATGAAAATGATCTGAAATTTCTCAAATGCCATCTGCTTTAAATTCAGTCTGTGTTCACTGTCATCCAAAGCTAATAATTCTGGGCAGCCCAGGTACACAAATATGTTGGTTTGTCATTAAATAGAGCTAGTTGCCAGTCTGGAAAGGATGGGCTGGAGTTTAATAAGTCCCGCTTAGCCGCTGGGCAGCCTGTACAAGTCAGTGCAATACTCTGCAGTTCAGGATCTAGACATTTGTCACAGCCTTAAGTACAGGGACGGGATATAAATAATCTATTTAGCCTTAAAATTTTGGAAATTGTCACTCAAGTCTAGCTTCAATTTATTGTTTTTAGTGTCAAAAGTGGGACAAGATGCTGTATCCAGCTTGTGCTGAATCTTCCCGTAGTAAAGTGCCTGTTTCTGCCCCGGCAGTTCCGCGTGTGTGCAGACACACGCACACCCGGTATTCCTGCAGCGCGTTGAGATTTTCATCTTCTTGAAACTGCAGAATGCAAATAAATGTAAAAAATAACAGCACATCCGAATGCTGCTTTGAGTGTGACTCACTAAAGCAACAACCTCTTGCTGCAAGTTGGCTATTTCAGGTTATGGTATGGTCCTTGGGACGGAACTGGGCGTTTGTTTGGGGAGCTGTGTGTAACTGTTGGCTGATTTCCTGTGATTTAGGGATTTCCTGCAGCTCTGTTATTAGCTTTTAAGAGTCTTAATTTAGCAGTTTACTTGCAGTGCAAGTCCTCAGTGTGCCAGAATATGTCCTTAAATATGCATGTATGCTGAGGAAAATAGTGGTTTTACATGTGTTTTGAAACTGTCAGTGATGAGGCAGGGAATAAGGTTACAGTTGTGACTGAGGAGGGGCTGGGGGTGCCGTGCCCTCTGCGGGGCTCAGCCCAGTGTCCGGGGGGGGCTTGGACAACCCAGCACGCCGGTGGATCGTCCTCCGGGCTCGACGTTGGCATCTGTGATGGTAGGATGTGCCAGAGTATCATAAAAATAGTGAAAATTAACTTTTTACCTTGACTGATAATTTAAAATTTCTGAGAATTTTCCTATGTGAAAAATATTTTTTTTTTCTTTATTGATTTGTTTGGTTTTGCCCTGATCCCATCTCTGTATTTCCCATTTGGTGAAACAGGTATTCTGTGCATCTCTACAGACACAAGAGATATTCTGTGTTATTCCCAGATACGGGATTAGCACCGTACCCCCTGCATTAGATTCTCCTCGGGTTTTCTTTTGTATTGCTTTGTTTCATTCCATTTGGGGTTTTTTGTCCTTTAAGATGCTAAGACAATCTCTTCTTTCCTGACAGTAGCTGTATTTACCAGTGGTTACATTTTGACCTGCAGTTGCCAGAAGCCCCTTGGCAGTTGCTTGAGCCTGAACTGTGTGTGGAAGTGCTCCCAGCACAGCGCTCGTGTGCTCCGGAGAGCAGGAGATCTTTGAAAAAAGCGAGTGCCCTGGCAAACGCTCCTCGCCAGGAGCGGCCAGAGAGCTCACCCTGATGGAACCCACAGCCGTGCACCAGGACTAAAACCTTCCTTTTGCTGTCCCTGTTGTCGCTCTTTGTGGTGTTAGTGTGGACCCTCAACTCGGACGGGCACTGCCAGCTTCCACAGCCAGGGCACCCTCCTCTTCCTCCTCCTCCTCCTCCCTAGCTCCGCAGGGCCTCAACCAGCCACGTGCAACTGGCAGCGTGCTGACTGAGGAGTTCGTACTGACAGCCCTTGCCAGAGGAGTAGCGCTGTTCATCATACACCATTATCTACATTTGCAGCAGCAGAGTTCCTCGCCACAGGGAGTTTGCTTTATGGTTTGAGAAGACCAGCACGGATTTCAGTGCCTATAGTAACGGCTGTCTCCTTCCTGTGCTTAAAGATCATTGTGCAGTGCTCTTTCATTCAGCATAACTTTTATGTCTAGCAAATTAAATTCCTGGGCAAAATAATTAGATGTAAATGCTGCTGGGCTATTATTCACAAAGGGCCAATTTTGTTGGTGTTTGAAATGTCCAATTTATTGCACGGTAACATATACAACATGTAGTTCAAAAATAGAACATGAAAGGCTTCAATCAAGTCTGCAGATGTAAATTTAGAAGGTAACTGGACATCAGAGAGGAAACCCAAAAATACCTGAGTTAAGCCAAATGGGTATTTTATTTCAAAGGTAGTTTGTGCCCCCCACGTGTCGCTGGGTTCCTGGTGGCAGGTGCTGCAGTCCCGGAGTTTCAGGCTCCACCCTGAGCAAGGGTTTCTGGACGTATTTTTCAGCTGGAAGCCCACCCTGGTACCTGCCCGAGCTGAAGTTGTTACTGGTGCTTCCGGGTCTAACTGGTTATTGCTGCTGATGGTGTAATGAATGACTCCAGACACAACTCCTCCTGGCATAAGGAGCACAATTTAAAATACTGCTGTTATAACCATTGCTTAGAAAACCTGGGTTACATCTCCCTTGCAGTTTGAAGTTTCATGGGTACGTACTCTGTTTTCCAGGTGTCTGGATCAGCATTTTGAACTTATGCCTCAGGAAGCACAGTCGGTGTCTTTCACTCAGGTAAAAACTGTTCAGCTTCTGCTGGTTTTGTCATTGTGCCATATATCCAGGAAAGGCTAATTGCTGCCTGATCTTGATTTTATTTGAACTATTCCACCCTGCTCTATGGCAGGCAAAGCTTGAGATATATACAGGGAGCTGGAAAAAATTACTGGTTAATATTAACATAATCATGTATAATTTTGTGTAGTCTGTATTATGCTGGGATTAGGACACGTGTGTATAATGTACATAGTGTGATAATACTGCATGACGTTAATAGATTTACCTGTATTAATAGTGGATTTACTGGGTGGTTACCCAACGTGTGACTTGGAGACCCAGCCAGCAGTGGGACCCTCAGCAGTGTTCTGCTCCTGGGGCCGGCCAGCTGTGGCTCTCGCGGTCCAGCTGTGGCTCTCGCGGTCCAGCTGTGGCTCTCGCGGTCCCGCGGGTTTTTGTCGAGGTTCTGGGCAGAAGTTCTGGTGGACGCTGGACGCGGGGCTGCTCACCTGCTCTCGTGGGGATGGCGTTTCCCCTCTGGCATAGCAGCTGTCCCTGCAGTGGGGATGTGCAGAGCTTTAGCAGCAGCGGGTCCGTGGGATGCGCGAGGATCCAGGGCGGGGGCATCCCCTGGCCCGGCAGGTCCCGCTCTGGAGGGATCTCCCCCGCCCCGGAGGAGTGCCCGCTGTGCTGCGAGGCAGGATTTGCCTTGTGCAAATTCAGATTGAAGAGCTGTGTGTATTCCTGCACATCAGGCATCTCGCTTGATGCTGACTCCCCATAAAGTTTTTGTTTACACGGACACCCACACACTCTTGCTTTCTCTCATGGTGTTCCTGGAAAAACAATCAATATAAAACCCTGTCGTCTCCGTGTACGACAGATGACTAATGAGTTGTAATTGCACCACAACACTACAGGAAACTAACTTCATGAGGAGTTAAGGATTATCTAGCTGTATGTCCCTGGGAGGTTGTTATTCTGGGAAATTAATTTAATTAGTTTAGACCTATTAGAAATATAGAGGGAGAGCTGAAGATTGGCAGGGCAGAGACAGAGCAATATACTTCTTAAAAAATTGTAAAGACTGAGTGAAAGGTGTAATTTTTTGTTAACAAAATTGCTTCTTTCTCCTTTGGGGCTTTATTGTTCTGAAAATAAAGTTCCGTGTTGAAGTTTTGTAAGGCAAACAGCTTTATTCTCGTCTCCTGAAGGCGGCGTGTGTCCGTGGAGCTGTGCGTGCCCTGTGTGCTGCCCTGCCGTGCTCTGCCGGGAGCTCTCGGGGCCGCGCGTGAGCAGATGCAGGGGGGAGACGGAGCAGATCCCCGACATTCCCCAGACACTCACCCGCCTCCGACTGCTTTCAGCTCCTGAAACTTGCAGAGCAAGACAGATCTTCTGTGTTCAGTGTCTCTTAACGGGTTTCCCCTCTGTTATATTTGTACAATCTCCTTTACTGTTTATTAATACGAAGTCTAACTCTGCTTTTAGGTGGCTGTATTAGAATAAAGCAGCTTGTTGCGGTGTTAGGTAACGAGCTTAGTGTCTAAATGGGTATGGTTTCTCATCCAGGCAGGAGCAGCATTTATTCCCCCAGGGTGTGCTTAGCTAGCAAGTCTTGTTGATGATAGAGAAATTTGACAAATATTTGTTAAATTTGCTTCAACCTTGAAGACTGCAGCATTGGTGGGCCCCGGAACTTGGGCTGTGTGCAGACCTGCAAGGCTTGGTGGCGTCGGCTGCTCCCACCGCCGCTGCTGGCACTGACCACAGCCTGACAGAGGTGGCAACGGCCCCAGGAGTTGCTGGCGCGGGAGACCCTTTCCCTGAGGCAGCTGTAACCCTCATTTGTCCATCTGTGAGGCGGAATGTCTTTTCTGCTCTTGGATGGGCAAGAAATTACTCAGCAAAACACTTAAGTGTAGATGCTGACACTGAAGTGCTTTGCTGGCCAGGGCTGTATCAATTGTACTGCAAGAGGGTTTGGATTGGAAGGGACCTTAAAGCCCCTCCAGTGCCACCCCTGCCCCGGGCAGGGCCACCTTCCACCAGCCCAGGTTGCCCAAAGCCCTGTCCAACCTGGCCTTGAACCCTTCCAGGGAGGGGGCAGACGCAGCTTCTCTGGGCAGCCTGTGCCAGGGCCTCACCCCCTCACAGGGAACAATTTCTGCCTTAGATCTCACCTAAATCTCCCCTCTGTCAGTTTAACCCCGTTCCCCCTCGTCCTATCCCTACACCCCCGATCAAGAGTCCCTCCAGCACTGGAAGGACACTGTAAGGTCACCGCGGAGCTGCGTGTGCCTTGGCGTGGTGGCAGGGCTGGCAGCCCGCTCATCTCTCTGGGCCACCCATTGCAGGGGCCGTGCGAGTCCTGCCCCTGTGTAGCTCAGTACTGGTTCAGAAGAGACAGGGGAAGAAGTCTAAACTTTGTTCTGGAAAGGCAGAAGCGTTTCAGGGGACAGCAGGGTGCGGTGGTGAAGCTGAGAGCTCCTCTTTTGCCCCTGCAGCCTTTGCACAAAAGCTGTTTCTCCACATGAAAGAGCAGAGATCCTCTGTGGGAAAGGGGTTTGACACCGCCCCGATCACCCGGTGTCTGTGTGACCAAACCCCTTTGTCCTCAGAGAGGAGCATGCGGGGGATTCGACAAAAACGCTTGGAAATGGGGAGCCCTAGTGAGGGGGTTGGATTGCTCAGGCTGTGGCTGCAGGAGAGGCGTGTTAGCGGGGTTCAGGTCCCACCTCTGAGCAGGGGATGCTTCAGGGGGGCACGTCAGCCCCTCAGCAGGAATTCAGGGGGCACCCCCCGGCTCGGCCCGGCGGGCGGAGGAGCTGTGGGGGCTCTTGCTGCGGAGGGTGGTGGGGAGGAAGCGCCCACCGTGGGGCTGAGGGCTCCCTCAGGCTCCCAGTGTCCGGGGGAGGAGGAGGGCAGGGCGAGCCCAGCAGCCGCGGAGGCTGGCACGGTCTGTGGGCACCTGCTCCCCAGGAAAACGGCGCCTTTCTGTGCGGTGAAAAGATGGCTGATACCCGCTGTCTGCTCATTCCCTGCCCCTTTCGCTGGGCGCCTGGGAGCAGCCTGCCTGGGGCATGCAGGCTACGTGGCGTTTGATAAGGATGAAATGTTACAGTGCTGGCTATGAAGCATCCCGTAAACGTGTGCTGCGTTTTTGTTGGTATAAATCCCAGCATGGTGGTGTCTGTTAGAAATGAAACTTGTCTCGTGTGCAGTCGGGCCGGGGGGGGGAGATAACCACCGCGCAGCTCGGTGAGCCCTGGAAGCCCCAACGGTGGATCTCGGACGTCGTCGCTGCTGGTGCTTCTCAATCTGCTGCTAATGCTGAGGTGCCTCCCACCCGAGACAGCAGTGGGTGAAGAACGTGCCTTTCCGGGTCACGGATTACACAGTTTGGAGTAGTTGTAGATGCACAGAGGAATGTTTTGCATCACTAACGAAGGAGTGCGTTGCTTTTGCTCATCCTTGAAGAGTGTTGGGAAAATAGTGGAAAATATTATTCGTAATTATTTTAAAGCATATGTATCTGTGACATAGCGTATGTTCTCGAGGAAAAATGCTCAACAAAATACTAAAAGATGCTGCTGCTGGTGAATTTCCCATCAACTTCGATCGGTGAAAAATCTGCTCCCTGATGGAAGTGGTGTTGATGAGTTTCCTCTTTCCATGGGGAGTTCCCCTGCCCTGAGGAAAAAACCCACCCCCTGAAAAGTGATAGAGCTTTGCCAAAATATTTCTGCTTGTGACCCAGCATTTTTCATTTTGGCTGAAATGAAGTCCAGCATTGCTGCGTTACGTCCTGAGCTGAGCAGTAAGCCAGGCTCTCTGTCCTGCCTGTGTCGAGCCCCAGAGCCAGCCCTGGCCCCGGGCTCAGCCCTGCACCCCCCTGCAGCTGAGCTGGGGGGGAAAAGGGGTCCCCACCCTGCTCCTGTGGGACCCTCGGCACAGCCTGCCCGCTGGAAATGATTTACCTTCAGAGGTGCCAAAGAAGAGGATCCCTTCGTGGCATCCCGCTGGGAAGGGCTGGGCAATGAAACAGCTCGGTTTTATCCTGCGTGGAAGGCAACTTCCATTTTTATCCTCTTCCAGCTACGAGAGGAGAACCAGTGCAAATGCAAACTGCGGGTGGCCGGGCTGCTCAGGCCCCATGCCCCGAGTGCTAATTGTGCCAAGAAAATAACAAGTTTTGGGGTTGTTTATGTTTCTGGTAGGAGATTTATGCAGCACGCTCAGGAGGGGTTTATCTCGGTGAGGGGGGAGATAGGCCCTGAAATGGATTTTCATGCTCAGAGCTTCCAAACACAAGCACTGTGCAGCTTTCTGTTTGTTTTGCAAATCCTTATCATCCCACAGTTATTGCTTGTGAAGTGGAGCAAAAAATGAAACCCACTGAGGACTGGGTGGCAGGACTCTGGTTTCTCCCCTGGCTTAGCTGTTGTGCTGTTCTGGAAGGACACAGATGCACATCTAACAAAAGCCTCCAAAACAGGTATCTACATGTAGCAATTAGTTTACAAGTTTAGCCTTGTAGTTGCTGAGCATATTGCATTTCTGCTCTGTGTGAGTTGTTTACAGATAGCTTGTTTCTTGGGGTCTTCAAGATTATTCTGTGTCACTATATTTTATTTATTTGGTAACAGAATTATGATTTGCTTTGACTTATTTAAGACAGAAGAATAAAAAGCCAGCAGTCTATAACTTCTAAAATGTCATAACAAAGCTCACCTGTTAAAATTAAAGCAGGGGGTGTGAAGGAGAGGGGAGGGTTGGTGTGTGAGGGAATTTAACTTGCTATCAAATGCACCTTATCTAATCGCTGTCAGAGAGCTCCAGCTGCTGTCGGCAGGTTTTCAAGTTTAAGCATAAAAGGCAGGTCCTGATTTACATTGGTGAGGCTGGCAGTGGGGTGCTGGGAAGGGCTCCTGCTGGGTTTTGCAGAGGCCAAGCCTGGCTCTAGGCTGGTGCTGCTGCAGCTCCTGGGGACCCCAGCTGTCACCTGGCTGTGGTGCCATTTGGCTTTGCCTCTGCTCCCACCACTGCTCTTGGGGTGCCTCTGGGTGTCTGCACCCAGAGAGAGGTACAAGCTGTTCCCCTTTCTTCTTCTTTTTGCCAGTTTGCAGATGACAGCAGGAGAGGCTGGGCAGGAGCGTTGGCAGCACCTGGTGGGATACGCTGGTAGAGAGCTCCAGCCTTGAAACTGAGCACTGTACAGGTATGAAGATAATAAAGTGCAAATAGGGGAACGCACACTCCAAGTGAACATTTGATGTGGAAGGTTTTTGTTTTTCCCAGAAGCTGTATTTCCTTCAGTTTGTTTCTTAGATATGTTCTTTTTGCAGGTAGTTGAATCAAAACAATACAATTTTTCAAGCAGTTTAAGCTCCATCGTAGTGTCATTCTTGTATGGAAATCTGCTGGAACGTTTTATTTCCTGGCGCTGTTTATCGTGTCCTGTGCCATTATGCAGGTTTACGCCTGCCCAGAGTGGCTGTGTCCTTCCTTCAGCCCTTCTCCAGGGCCCTGAGGAAGCGCAGCATTACCGGGTTAAATTATTCAGATATGTGTATCAGGCTTTCAAAACGAAGACAGACATATGTGTACACTTCCTGGATGTTTCGAAAAGAATGCAGTGAGCAGGGGAGGGGAGAGGCTTGTCTGCTCCTTCAGCTAACAAGGCTGCGTCCTTCATTAGGAAAAGAAAGGAGGTGAGGTTCAGGTGCAGTTCCAAAGTTCTGGCATTTAGGACTGAAAACACTAAATGTTAGTAGGAAGGTTCTCTCATCTCTGGTGATTCAGAGCTGAAGAGCAGTTAGGTGTGTGTTTTGAGGAGGCTGTGGCTGGCACCAGGTGGGAGGGTGGCACAGGGGGTCTGCTGTGTGCTGCTGCCATTAAAAACTCAACGGTTACGTGTGTAGCGCTTCAGGTTACGTGGAAGTGCAAGATAATTTCTTGTAAGTAAACCTTGTGTGGTATTGTTCAATAGAAGGTCTCTTTTTCAGGACAAAAGGGATTTCTGATTTTGCCCATAAAGGTTACATTTGTCTAACAGAGGCAAAAAAGATAGTCTGTTTATGAAGTGACTTAAAGCATCCATGGAGTACGTATAAATTGGCTTGAAAGTAGGTCAGTGTGGCTTTTCACATAGCACGGTTGTGATGCATTCGTATGTGAATTCAATTACAGAACTGCAAAAGCTTACAGGGAAAGCTATGTGGTACACAAGTTCTCTGGCATGATCCCTTTTGCTTTAATTTCTCCAAACTGGTGAGTCCAGGGAGAGCTTAATTAAAGGCAGTGAAAGTAATTCTGGAAAACGCGAGCCCGCGGAGCGCCTGGATGTGCTCCTGGTATTCTGGCCTGCTAGCCGGCCTCCTCGCCATATGCTTTCCTCTGCTTCCCTTGCCTGATCCTGGGAGAGGACAGCAGAATCAAAAAACTAATTAACTCCTGGACGCCCTCTCTGTGTGCAGATTAAGCTGAGCCTGGGCCCTCGGGGTGGCCGTGGAGCGCAGCCCGAGCAGGGCTGGGCAGA